TGAAGGCTGTGAAACATTTGCTTTTGATCATTCCTTAATTGTATGGTGGATGATTCATAATTAAACAATTTGTAATTATTGGGATCTTAGCATAAAACCTGAGACAGAATAGTGTGTCTAAATCTGGGGGATATGACATAATGGTGTCTTGATTCCTGAAGAGAAGGTTATTAGTGATATTAGGTAAAGTAATTGAACTTGGGTTCTTTATTCCCCGAATCCACACTGCTTAGTTGCAACCTTCAGCTCACACCCTAAAACTCTCCCTCTGTCTCCACACAAGAGTTCACCAGCTTTTTCAGAGAGAAGGTAGTCAAGATCTGAAGTGGTCTTTCCCACCATAGAGTTAGAAGGGACCACAAGGGTCATCTAGTCTAACTGCCTGCCAAGATGCAGTATTTGTTGTGTCTAAGCCATCCAAGACAGATGGCTATCCAGACTCTTTTTGAAAAGCTCCTGTGAAGGAGCTTTCACAACTTCCCAAGACAGTTTGTTCCATTGTCCTACTGTTCTTACAGTTAAGAAGTTTCACCGAGATTTAATATAAATCTGCTATGCTGTGGTTTGAACCCATTGCCTCTTGTCCTACCTTCTGTGGCAAGAGAGAACAATTTTTCTCTATCTGTTTTATGGCAGCCTTTCAAGTATTTTAAGACTGCTATCATGTCTCCCTCCCCTGCCTACCTTAATCTGCCCTTTTCCAAACTAAACATACCAAGTTTCTTCAGCCTTTGCTCATAAGGCTTGCATTCCATCCCTTTGATCATCTTTGTTGCTTGCCTCTGGATCCTTTTCAGTTTCTCTACATCTTTTCTATATAGTGGTGACCAAAATTCCTCCTATTTCCTCGGTCCCAGCACCCTGTCCTCCTTTTCCCTTGTCACCTACACCAAAGTTTTGGCCTGCTCTCCTCCTCTAAGCCTTCCACTGTCTCAGTGGCCCCATCCCCTCTTGTCTCTGACATCCATTGCCATCCACTCTCACCGCCTCCTGACCTTCCTCAATATCTGACTCTCCTTTGCTCCTTCCCTTCACAATTACAAAGATACTCAAAATCAACAAGATGAAATTCAATAAAGACAAGTGCAAAGTACTATACTTAGGAAGAAAAGTCAAATGCACAACTCTAAAATGTGGTGGTTAAGCAGTAGTACTGCTGAAAAAAGGATCTGTGATGAATATGCGTTAATGTGATGCAGTTGTGAAAAAGGCTTATCATTCTGGGTTGTATTAACAGGAGTGTGGTATGTCAGACACAGGGGTAATTGTCCCATTCTATTGACACTGGTGAGGCTTCAGCTGGAGTATTTTGTCCAGTTCTGGGCACCAGACTTTCAGAAAGATGGGGACAATTTGGAGAGAGTACAGAGGAGAGCAACAAAAATGATAAAAATTTAGAAACGCTGACCTAGGATGAAAGGTTAAAAATGCTGGGCATATTTAGACTTGAGAAAAGAAGATGGGGGTGGGTGGGGCGAATGTGATAAGTCTTCAAATATGTGAAGGGCTGTTACAAGGAGGATGGTGATCCATTGTTCCCCATCTCCACTGAAGGTCGGGTAAGAAATAATGGGCCTAATCTGCAGCAAGGGAGATTAGAAAGTTTTTCCTAATATCTTAATTATAAGGATAGTTAAGCACTGAAATAGGCTCCAACAGAGCCTTAACACAGAGGGTTGGACTAGATGATCTCTTGAGGTCCCTTCCAGCCTTACATTTCTATAATTCTATAATTCTATGCTCCAGTCTCTTCAAAAAGTCATCTCTTGACCCACCTATCTTTCCAACTCCTGCCTCTTCTCTCTTCTTCCCTTCACCTCCAAAGTAATTGATTCTTAGCATTCCTTATCTTCTCCACTACGACATTAATGGCGATAGTCTTGAATGTCCATTTCTCTGATTCTCCCAGTCATCTTCACACCTTCTTTCATTCTGCATTCTACACATGGAAATCTGACTGAATTGACCCATAAGCCACTACCTATCTCTACCCCCTCCCCAAATCCATCCTTAAGAGTCATTTCTTCCTGATGCCTAAAAATGAATTTGTGGGACAGTCATATGTAGATAAATATTTAAGGTTAAGAAGAGAATATGTATGTTCAAAATAAATATGTTTATGGTGTCCCTCTCCCTGACCCTCAGCGTGTTGCTTGGCCTCATGAATTGTAAACTGTTGCTAGCACATTGTGGGCACTACTGGACCTAATAATATGCATTAATAATTCTATTATGAAAATAATGCTTGTCACTAGTGAAATCTTATGATACCACCATGCACTTTGATAATTAAATTTAAGGTTATTCTCACTATCATATTCACCAATAACTTCTTTGCACTGTAAAATGAACAAAGCAAACCATATCAGCCTACCTAGACAGAAGTTCTGATCATCCTTCCTCCTCTATGATTTGATGTTTCTGTCCATCTGAGCTTTACAAAGATGAGTGAACAAAGATCTATTCATTTTCATCAACCAATGGGCACTAGTCACAGCAGTGTACTCCCAGACCCCCAGGGTTATTCAGAGCAGAACTGACACTTCTCTCAGTCTTTGGGTCATGCAAAGCTACAGTGATTCATATCTATGGGCTCTGATAAGTGATAGATCTATTTGTCTACGGACTGGTAGGTTGCTGTAATTTTTTCTCTCCCCACTTACAGTATTTTCTCATCAGCAGAGGTAAAGGTGGCCTCAGAGTAATAGGAGGAATTTTAAAATATGGAGGAATGTCATTATCTTCCCCCTAACTAATTAGACTTCTACATGGAGTAAAGCCCAATAGAAGCATATTGTTTTAACCATACTATATTATATGGCTTTCTAAGCTACATCCTGCCCTTAAAATATAATCATGTTATCAAGTTACTAAGCAATTGATGACTAAACACAGTCATTTGCTAAAAGAAAACTGCTTTTAGATGAAAACTCAGCATCATGCCTTTTTCAGTTCAATATCTTCCTGATAGGTTATGTTCCCATATTTTCATTTCTGTCCCTTTGACTTATTTTTCCTACTGAAACTGATAAAGGCTAGATTCCTTTTTTAAAAATTATAATAGTAGCTAAGTATTGACCAAATGATAACAGAATAGTAATGATAGCTGTGTATATTGTATTCTTTCCAATTTCATTTATTTCTGCTTCCTAGAGAAGCATTTTTCTTTGAAAAGCAAAGGCAACCTAGTTCTTAGCTCCTCCTACTGTTCAATTCAAGTCTAATTAGTATATCTATAGCAGTTACTAGTGTCAAGTTACATAAACCAGAGTTTCACACATCTGAAATGATGTTTGTACAAGTCTTGTGCTTCGGCTGAACTACAAGAATACCATTTGTACCAGGTACATTAATAAATAAGATAAAGAGATATTTCCGCCTTTCTTATAGTAAATGAAACCTAGTGTATTGCACTGTCAACTGGGAGGAAGGCATACAGATAGTTAAAGCACCAACGATAAACATGTAATGAACGGAAGTGTCATCTCTTTACACACTACTTCATCTTTTGTATTTAACACGGGGACTGAATTTTCCTCAATTCCCTTCAGTTCAAGAACTATCCACAATGAATGTGAAACAAGAAAACACTGAAAAGACCTTTGCAAAAGAAATGATCCTCCCTGAAATAGCTCTGCATGCTTAAAGTACTTTAATAATGATATATTACCAACTATATTTTATTAACAAAGGGAGGGTTCATAGCGAGGCTCCCGATGTCTCTCTTTGATCTAAAATTCGACCGAGATCATGTAGCACCAAAGTAGTCTCCCATTTAGCATAGGGATGGTATGGGGCATTCTGCGTCTAACTTGGATCTGGTCTTGACAAACTTTTGTTACTTAGGACTGAGTTCCTTCACGTCATAAAATAATGCTATTGAAGATCTGAAGTAACAGTGCAATCCCGGAACTGCTTGTAATGGGAGCTCTAACGAGCTCGTTCACTGCAGTTAGTGGGGATAATAACACCTTCCATTATATCCATATACCTAACAGTCGACTGAGTACAAATATCTTATGAACAATCTAACTTTTTAGCACTTATAAATGAACTCCTGTTCGGCTGAATCCAGCTGTAGGCAGCACGGTAGGTGGTATAACAAAAGTCCATACAACGGGACATAAAACAACAATGGGAAGCAATTCTAAAAGAGGCATGGCAGAGCAGTCCCATCTGGGTATCACTTATTTCCTCCCCCTGTCTAGTTCTGTGGGGCAAACAAATCTCTAGCCACCTGCATCTTTAGCCAACCCCAAACTGAATAAACTGGGAGGCAAACAGAAAGTTTATCAGTTACATCACCTCAAGAAATAAACACACACATGATTCGAAAAATCCCCTTTATTTGGTGTTTAAGGAGGACCAAGCAGGAGGCAGAAAACGTTGGTTAATAAATATGAAGATTACTGTGAATTTGATAAACCGCGGACAGTGGATTGAGTCTCTCTCGCCTACACACACACACACACACACACTCAAAAGTACACTTAGACAAGTCTGAATCTGAGATTTCCCTCCTGATCAGTTTGGGGGGAAAGCTTTCCGTTAATCATTAAACGCTATTTTATTAGCCTGCATCCTTATAACATACACGGCACAAAGATTACCCGATGCGTTGCTAAGATATACTTTGATGCCCATTAGGATCCAGTGCCGGGTTTAGCATCACTTGAGGGCTGAGTGTAGGGATTGGCACAGGTTATGGGGTCAGCACAGTGTCGTGGGTTTAGGACTGAGTTGTGGGGCTCAGCAGGGTTGGGAGGTCCTGGGGCAGAGGGGCAGAGCTCTAGGAGCGTGGCCCAGTTTCAGGGTTCAGGGTGGGCAGCGGTATAGTTTCGGGCTGAGTATAAAGCTGCCCGTTGTATAAAGTCCCCCCTAGCTGGCCCGGCTGGAGCCCAGGCGTGGGGCTACTTGCGGAGCCGCCTCGTGCTGGGCAGCAAAGGGCTACGCCAGAGTCCCCGAAGCGGCCCCGTCCAGCCCGCTCGCCCCCCTCTCACCTGAGTTCCGGAGCTTGCGGTTCTTGAAGACCGAGATGACGACCAGCAGGTTGCCCACGATGTCCACCACGGTGGTGAAGATCAGCACGCTGGACAGCGCCGGGACCACCCAGGCCGGCCGCCGGGCCGCCGCCGCCTCCCGCCCCGCCAAGCCGAAGCCCCCTCGCCCGCCCAGCTCGCAGCAGTTCCTCAGCGAGCCATTCGCCAGCATCGCTGACGCCCGCGCCCCCGTCTCCGCTTCGCCGGGCGCCCCCGGCAGCCTCCCGCCCGGCTCCTCCTAGCGTGGGCTGGGGCGCTCCGGCCCCGGGCTCCCCATGGCAGCGCCGGCTGCCGCCTTCCCTCCAGCCCCGGGTGCCCCGGCGCTGGCGACTAGCCCTGCTCGGCGGCGGGCAGGGCTTTAATGGGCTGCGCTCCCCCGCCCCGCGCCCGCTCCCCCGCTGCCTCCCCGGCAGAAGGCGCTGCGGGGCAGCGGCCGGGCGGGGCTGGAGGCAGCAAAGCCCCCTCCCCACTCCTCCATCTCTCGCCCGCCCCCGGCCCGCAGCCCCGCCAGGAGCTGGGGCAGGCGGGGAAAGGGGTCGGCGCGGGCTAACCGGGGAGGAGACTCAGAGCAGCCGGCCAGGTCCCGCCCCCACTGCCCTGCTCCCTCCCCCCACGCGCGCGGCGTGACTGCAAACTTTCCCGCGGCCGCTCGCAGCCCCTCGGCGGCGGCCGGGCGCTCTGAGGGGAGCCAGAGCGCGTTGCTGCGGGTTGGCGCGTGCGGGGCGGATCCGGAGCAAGGGGGCGGGCGTGGGCTCGTGCCCGGGGAGCCTGTGAGTAAGTTAGGAGCGATCGAGCAGGGGGAGACAGCAGGCATGGGGAGGGAGCGTGCGGGGAGAGAGACGGAGGAGCGTGCGTAAGGGAAGGGGATCCCCCGGGAAGGGGGAGGGGAACATTCCAAAAGGGGGGAAGGGAGAACATGCATGGGGAGGAGGAGCAGCCACGGAGGGGGGGGTATCACTGACAGTGGAGCATGCATAGGAGAGGGGAAATCACAACGGGGGAGGGGAGGATGCATAGGGGAGAGGGAATGGGGGGAGGGAGGTGGGAGGTTGCATAGGGGAAGCAACAGAGGGTCCTGTGGCACCTTTAAGACTAACAGAAGTGTTGGAGCATAAGCTTTCGTGGGTGAATGCCCACTTCATCAGACGCCTCTGTTGCCACAGGACCCTCTGTTGCTTTTTACAGATTCAGACTAACACGGCTACTCCTCTGATACTTGGCATAGAGGAAGTAGGCTCACAGGGGGAGGGGAGGATACATAGAGGAGGGGGACTCACAGGGGGGAAGGGTGCATGGTCAGGGAAGTGGCAGTCAACCTTTTTTTTCATTTGTGGACCCCTAAAATATTTCAAATGGAGGTGCAGACCAACCCCTTTGGAAAGCTCGGACATAGTCTGCAGACCCCCAAGGGTGCGCGGAACACAGGTTGAAAACCACTGAGTTAAGGGAATGGGGTGTGTGGACAAAGGGCAGAGAGCCCCAAACAGAGGGACTGTTGCTGAGGGAGGGGTCCCAGATGGGCAGGCACCATGCAAGCTAGGGACTGGCACATGGTAGAGGGGTAATACAGAGCCAGGTGCAGGGCACTGCACGCTGCAGGGCTGGCACAGGGATGGGGGCTGTGGCTGAGTTGGGAGTGCAGGGGATGCTGCTGCTGTAAGTGGGGCAAGCAGGGGCCATCGCACGCCCCAAGGGGTCTGGACCTGCTGCCGTCGAGGTCCCCCGCTGCTAGCAGCAGTCTCGCCAGGCAGAGCCCAACTGTGGCATGGGGCGGTGTGAGGTGGGTGGAGCTGATCTTGAGCCGCAGATCCAGGGCCCTTCCTGTGAAGAGGCAGCGGGGGGTCCAGAGCCCTCATGCTCGTCCCGGGCCCTTCGTGGGGGCAGAGGAGCCTCAGTGGTCCTTTCTGTGCAGGAAAAGTCAAAGCCACAGGTGGGGGTGGCAGGAGGGCCCATGGTGGCTCAGCTCGCTGCAGGAAGGAGAGGAAGGGTTTAAAGACAATACTCATTAGCAATAAGCATCAGAGGTATCGCTGTCTTGGCCTCTTCTTTCCCAGGACAGCGCTGGAGCTGCATGGCAACCAGCCAGGAGTCTGAGCTCGGACAGCAGGAGATGCCAGCTGAGATCCTGGGGCTTCCACATGACTCATGAGCAGGGCCGGCTCTACCATTTTTGCTGCCCCAAAGACCAAAAAAAAAAAAAAATAGCCACTCGGACTGCCACCGCCCGAACTGCCGAAGCGCAAAAAATAAAAAAAAGCTGACCGGACTCTGTCGCCCCAAGAATGGACAGAATGCCGCCCCTTAGCATGTGCCACCCCAGGCACGTGCTTGCTCTGCTGGTGCCTGGAGCTGGCCCTGCTCATGAGAAGAGCCTGGGCGAATAGCTGCCAAGGGAGCAGCTCCTCCTTGGTTTCACTGCTTTTGACTCACTGTTTGAATGGCCTGACTAACCAAGATAAGGTAATCAAGGGCAGCAAACAACCCTTCATCTCCTTTTTTTAAACAGGGCAGAGCTTGGGATTTAGAGTTTATCTTAATTAAGAAGTCCATGTAATCCAGCTCTATCTAAACCATCTCTCTCAGGCTTGGAGTTTCAGAACTGATTTGGCAAAAGGCGATTTTCTAAAGCAAGTCTCCCTACTAAAAGTCAATAACTATACACGAGGCACCCAAGGAGGAGAACTTTATTTTCCTCAGGATCAGTCTAACAGCTAGAGCGAGTTAGATGTAATGGGAAATCCCTCCTCACCTCCCCCATCTACACCATCTGTTGTCTGGCTCTAAATGTTCCACTGCTTTCCCACCCGTTAAAGTAATTTCAATCACTTCCTATGGATTACGTCAGGGGTGCCCAACCTACGGCCCACCAGAGCATTTCATAGGGCCCACAGCCTGCTTCAACACAATATACTAACGGCTGATTCACTAGCATTTTGTCATCATGTTTACATCATTTTAGTTTACACAAGTATGTAAATAGACAATACCGTACATAGAAACCACCTGTTTAAATACATATGAAACACGCTGAATTTAAAATATAAATCAATATAGGTGACTTTAAATCTTATTCAAATTTGTGGAATCTGTTTGGCCCACGCAAAATTGTGCTTAGGTTTATGTGGCCCTCCTATGTAATAAGGTTGGGCACCACTGAACATAATCATTTGCTAAATATAATACAATATACACTATGTATTATTAGTTGTGTTACATTAATGCCAAGAGGCACCACCTGAGAACAGGGCCCCATTTTGCTCGATGCTACACAAACACTAGGGTGGTATACAGTCCCTGCCCCCAGAGATTTTACAATCTAAATAGGCATCACTTACAAAAGTGGAGTGACTTGCACAAGGTTACACACAGAGAATATCATTGGAACAGCCAGGATTAGAGGAACCCAGATCTCTTCACTGCTAGTCTGATGCCCTATCTACTAGGCCACAGTGCCAACATTATATACAAGATCTAGATTTGCGTGCAACTTCTCTTCCTCTCCTACTCCTCAAAATTTTACAAACAAATTGATCAATGTATGATAAATTACATCCAGTGTACTTTGTGAATTTCACAAGTCACCCACATTTGACTTTCCTGGCAGACTTTGGCTGTAATTTATTTATGTTGTAGGATTCACCCCTAACACCAAACATGGGCATATCCACCCTTAGGCAAAGGTGGTCAGACCAGGAAAACGGTGTTTTTGGAGGGAGCTATCTAGCTATATTAGCTTCCATTGCTGTAAAAGCTGAGGCACACTTGGAACATGGGGACCAATGGCTTTACAGATTGGGCAGAGGAATGGCCATGAAAACAGCCACTAAGACGAAGCCTAAACAAACTGCTGGTAGGGCGATGTAAATGTACCAGATTTCAGAGTGAGGCTGCCACACACCTGTGTTCAATTAATACAAAAAGTAAGATCTGTGAGAAAAAGGAGCCCAAACCATGTATGTCTCAGTGCAGAGGGTGGGTCTGTTATACCACAGCATGATTCCTGGCCCCAGCACAGTTACCAGGCTGTCACGGACTCCACCCATACTGACAGTGCATCTGTGACCCCTCCAGTCGGTTCACAGAGCATATAGTGACAATTACTGCTGCTCACAGCAGATGTAATGCAAAAGGTTTGGGGTCCCACTTTGCACCATTTTCTGGAAGGATCATGCCACATGCCCCTGCCCTGCTCCTCTTCTTTCTGTTCTTTCCCCATTATTGAGAATTTCTTGGAGAGGTGGGTGGAAACTATATAGTGCAGGAAAACTTACTATGTCATTGTATTTCCCTTCTGAGTGGACCCTTTATGCTTTTTTTACATGGGATTATGGGCTGCATAGGAAAGGGAGCATATGGCCCATAGCTTTTTCTCCCCATACTTATCAAGCATTGAGTCTAGGGTTAGCAGCCTACCAGTTTTAACAGGAAAACTCACAAAAAAAGAGTTAGTTTTCTGGCGAATCCAACAGCAAAATGATAGTTACTCCATTATGGCTAGTTGCCTCTTTGAGGTACTATCTCCACAGAAACTTGCACTGGTTAAACAAGTGCACACCCCTTCAATTTCAGTTTACTACTACTTTCTTGGTTTAATTTTGTTCCTAATCAACTTAAGATAAGCTGAAATAACACTAGTTTAAACCCAAGTGTCCACTCAGCCTTTTGCATCAGTTTAACAAAATCAGTTAAAAAAAATCTTGGTTTAAGTTAAAGTCATGCAACTTTGTATTTAGACAATCTCTAAGGCAGCCTAATCATCAACATCCTTTGCAAACTGTACATGAAAGAATGTCCCAAAGTCTTGATATTTTGAACCAATCTAGAGTAAACAATAGTTTTGCCCTCCAAAGTATTACTACTGGGTGGACAATCCTCAGCTCCTGTCTTGATGGTGTAAAATAAAGGAACATTGTACCTGTTTAACAGGTGAGACTCAAGCCTAGCATAAGCACAACTTTGCTTTCACTTTACCACCAACAAACTAGTAATGATCCATTTTAAATGGAAGTTTCATTGTTTTATTGTTCTTGAGGAATTTATCTTTAATGAGTTGTCAAAAGAATAAGCTGTCTCTGGACTCTCTCCAATTTGTCCACATCCTTCCTGAAATGTGACGCCCAGAACTGGACACAATAGTCCAGTTGAGGCCTAATCAACACAGAGTAGAGCGGTAGAATTACTTCTCATGTCTTGCTTACAACACTCCTGCTATACATCCCAGAAGGATGTTCGCTTTTTTTGCCACAGCATTACAGTGTTGACTCATATTTGGCTTGTGGTCCACTATGACCCCCAGATCCTTTTCCACAGTACTCCTTCCTAGACAGTCATTTCCCATTTTGTATGTGCGCAACGGATTATTCTTTCCTAAATAGAGTATTTTGCATTTGTCCTTATTGAATTTCATCCTATTTACTTCAGACCATTTCTCCAGATCATTCTGAATTTTAATCCTATCCTCCAAAGCACTTGCAACCCCTCCCAGCTTGGTATCGTCTGCAAACTTTATAAGTGTACTCTGTATGCCATTATCTAAATCATTGATGAAGATATTGAATAGAACCAGTCCCAGAATTGATCCCTGCAGGACCGAACTCTTTATGCCCTTCCAGCATGACTGTGAACCACTGATGATTACTCTCTGGGAAAGGTTTTTCAACCAGTTTTGCACCCACCTTATAATAGCACCATCTAGGTTGCATTTCCCTAGTTTGTTTACGAGAAGGTCATGTGAGACAGCATCAAAAGCTTTACTAAAAAGTCAAGATATGCCACATCTACCACTTCC